ATTATATGTAACTATTTAAAATGAGATACATAACTGTGTAAAGTAAGTATGAGCATGGGAAAAATGTAGCAGCTATATATAATGATTAGTTTGTTGCACTACACAACAATAGGCATCAGTTGCAACATGCACCCGCATGAGAACAAAAGGAGCCAAATGCAATGCATTTCAAAATTTCAATCGTACAAGCGATGTACACATATAATCACATATAGACTGCTGATCATGCTGTGCACGAACACATTATCAAGTACCCTCCATCACTCGTGTACATGTGATTCCTTTCCGAATGGTTGCTTTGCTTTGCTTTTGATGTTCTTTTTTGTGTACCCTCTGGTAAACTAGCAGTTTGCTATTGAAAATCTCCATAGAAATAGTGGATTTTCCCATTAAAAATGGTGATTTTCCAGTTCGCTATGTTAGTCATTACCAGAGGGTAATTATGTTTTTGGGCTTCTGTAGAGGTCTCTTGTGCATCTGGTCCGCTTAAGCTTCTCCACGGTGTTGGAGTTCAGACATATCAGTTGATTAAATGTGAGAGATTCACGGACATCTCAACTGAAAGTTATAGTAATTATAGTACATCTATTAGTGGAATTGCATGTGCAATTTCAATCAATTTCACAGGCAAGCGCTAATATCTTTGAGATACTCAATACCCTCTGGTAAACTAACATAACTCTGGAAAATCCCCATTTTTTATGGGAAAATCCACTATAAATGGCCATTTTCAATAGCAAACTGTTAGTTTACCAGGCCGGGTATCTCTATATAAACACACAGTGCGTGCACTGCCAGTTTTGGAGCTGAAAAAAAATCATTTCACCTGGGCAAGAATATCCCTGAGGGATTTTTTTTGCCCTTTTTGGCACCTTTCTGCCAAGTTACTAACGTCCAAAAGAAGTAGGATCAAATGTGAAAAAAACACATCTTGACAGGCTGAAGTTATTGTGAATAAGACTGGTGTTTCATGGTGTTTCATGTTTCCCAAAGTATATACCATGATGATCTGGTTGGACGTGGATGGTTCGAACCCGTATACTGAAGACTAGTCCATTGGTGCAATTGTAAGGATAGAATCCGATAGAACTTCAAGAATCTTCACCTGGGCAAATATGTATGGCTAGGTATAGCAAGTTGCACATCACCCGCGGTGAAATCCACTTATTTCACAGGCTGCTTTTTTGGCTGCAGTATACTGCACCTGTCAGTTAGCTTTCCTAAATTTCAATGACTGATAGAAATGACCTCAGCGAAAAAAAACAAAAAGTTCATCATGCTGACCTCAGCATCTCTTCCCAACCTCTCCCCAGAAAACTGCCTGCTTGACACAGGACTCCTCCTCAACAGGGTTCTCCTGGGCCGACCATCCCGCTGGGCCATGTGCCGAGCTGAAGCCCGTCAGATGACCGCTGAAAAAACGATGTTTTTCTGAACACGAAGATATTTTTTTCCGAGAAAGCCATATGGGATTTGATTAAACCCTGAGGTCATTGATGATCATTAAAACGATCATGGGAAAACCATGGGTTTCCCCCATGGGACCAAGGCACCGAAAGATATCTCTCCGCATCCAGGGCAGCCATGGCTCCAGAGCCGGCTGAAGTGATGGCCTGGTGATGAAATGAGCCCCCGACAGAGAGAGACGACAGGGGAGACACCATGACATGGTTGAAATACCCTCTGGTAAATGGGATTTTATGGTGGTTTAATGGGATTTTATGGGATTTTATGGGATCTAATGGGATTTTACCATCTGGTTATAGCCATTACCCTCTGGTAAACTAACAGTTTGCTGTTGAAAATGGCCATTTATAGTGGATTTTCCCATTAAAAATGGTGATTTTCCATAGCTATGTTAAATTACCAGAGGGTATAATCCATTAGTATGAATATGCATTGTGATTACATCAGTCATATAAAATATATTATAATCATATTATAATTATGATGTGATTTTTAGTACCCTCTGGTAAATTAACAGTTTGACCCTGAAACTGACCAATTTATAGTGGTTTCACTAGTCTTTCAACCCCGACAACTGGCAGGGTCTATGTTAATTGACTGGAGGGTACTTTGAAGAAATACTTTAGTCTCACTCATTATGTATATTATATGTGTATATAAATATATTATACATAAATATTCAATGTATTTCAATGTGTACATAGACAGTCATACATAATCTGCTTGGTGGTTAAAAAACAATCTTGAAAAATGATGGAGTTCGTCAATGGGAAGGATGATCCCATGATTTTTTGGAAAATAAAAGCCATGTTCGAAACCACCAACCAGTTTTAGAGAAATACTTAAAGCCAAACTCATTTTCACTATTGGAAAGGATCACGTGTTGTTTCTTGGTATGTGGGTGTGTGAGCTGCTGTATTATTTAGACCTTGCACAATGCAGGGAACATCCGAAACGTTTCATCAGTTACAGTACAGCTTGTTTCAATCTGTTCCTGGATCAAGTTGCACAAAGGTTTCACAGACCTCCCAATTGCATCACGATTTCCTAGATCTGCTTCGCTGCTTTCAGGGACACTCTTCAAATTGAGACAACACACATCATGACATGCCTAACCTGGGGTATTCCATCATTTGGGTCTGAAATTAGGCTATCCCCAAAGTTCATGCTTTGTCATGATGACATCCTCCCCCAAAAAATACGATTGCTTTGGGCTAGCACCATTTTCAGACCAACATGACCTTAACTCATTCTACAGGGATTCGCAACGTGTCACAGCTCGTGTCTGCTGCTTTTTACCCCCCCTCCACGACTCCACCTGCCGGTAGACATGGTCTGCAACATCCCCTGCTGCAAAAAAACCCGGCGCGGAAGTCTTGGTCCCGTGGACTTGGATATAGCCAGTCCTCAGCTATCCCATATGCTCCATGGTGCTGGAATATGAATCCCAACATTTGCCCTAAAAATCACCCAGTTTTGTAGGTAAATATACGAGCACCATGGAGCATATATGGATAATCCACCGAATCCACGGGGTGGAATTTCTCTGCCATCAGTGCCTTCTGCGAATGAACACCTCTTGTGGTTCCTGCAAAAATCTCGAGGTTTTTGGTATCATCTGGTAATGACCAACATAGCCATGGTTTGTCGATGGCCCTAATCGAAATAGATGGTTTACCATGGTTTACCTGTAAACAATGGTGATTTTCCATGGCGAACTGTGAATGTCATAACCAGATGGTCGATTCAAAGGACGAACTAGCAGGAACTTGGTGCCTTCAACCACCATGATCTTCCAAAAAACCAGGCATCTTTGAAGGAACATTAGCGGCTAACTATCCCCGAACTCACGGGGAAGTGTCAAAACATTCTCAGTACACCAGTGGACTTAGGGATACCTTACCAGTAACCAACTATTTTAACACACAACATCAAGATCATGTCAATGGATTGGTTTTCTTTTTGGGAAATTTACACCGGAATTTCCATGGAATTGTCCCGTTTCTGACATATTTGGGGTTTCTGGTGAAACAAATATCCCAAGAAAACCAATCCATTCATCATGATATAGGGGTTTCATCTTTCCATCAATGGGGGATACCCAAAAATATCCAAACATGCTTGGTTGATTTCATGGAACAGCCTATTAAAAACCATTAATGGATGATTTAGGGCTACCCCCATTTCAGGAAACCTCCAAACAGGGAAAAGTGAAACGTAGCACGGGGCCAGGTGACTCATCCATGTCCACCTGACAGAATGGAATCGAGAAGACATGAGACGACACAACGGACACGTTGTGTCCGTCCGAGGCTCCCAGGAAAATCTCAAGATGGAATCCTTTCTGTACCCATAGGATCCATGGTGCTGGTAATATATATATATATGCTAACATCTGGGGTATATTGATGGTAAATGATACCATATAGAGTATACATGGATCCTATGGGGTATCGGAGTGCTAATATACAGTATATATATATATATATATACAGTATACCTTTACTTGAAGCAACAAATACATTTCAAGATATTTCAAGCATCATGAAGTAGTAACTGAACACCCACAAGCCCAAACTTGGCCACAGCGCAATGCTGAGATGTTCACAAGATACATCAAGATACAGCGAAAAGATATGCGAATCCGTTACCCTCTGGTAAACTAACATAACTATGGAAAAGCACCATTTTTAATGGGAAAATCCACTATAAATGGCCATTTTCAATAGCTATTTTGACATAACCAGAGGGTATTTCTTCCACAAACTGATCTGTTTCTGCTGCTGATGTGATGTCCCTCGCCTGACCCCTAAAGAGCCGAGTGTTTGGATCGTGTCCGATGGCAATGAATGCCGCATCTATGGGCAACTGATAAGCTTCTCTGGAGCTGTCCTGGTACATCACCATGGAAACATATGGAAACCTTCCCATATCTTTCCCTACATCCTGCAAAGCCACAGATGAATCGAAGATGACTTCGGAGTCGCTTAAATGGATAGAATTTCCGGATAGATTGGGATGAGCATCTGGATGCTGAGACAAGAGGGACACCCATGAAACAGCTGAAGGTCCTGGGTATCAATCAGCTCCATATGCGTCAGCTCTTTGTGCTCGATGCCATCTTCCTCTCTGCTGCGACCAATGAAACGTTTCACTGCCGAGTTCCTTGGTGCAGGATTGGTACAGAACTTTTGATGCACTGCATCACCACCACCACCACCACCACAACCACCACATCATCATCATCATCAATAATGATAGTAATATATACGTATATATATAGCCATAACATGTCATAACTGTCATAACAATAACATACAATAACTATTATTGGTTGTCAATGAAGTGCAAAGGCAAGGGTCACGGCCATTGCGTTTTGTCCTCGAAGCTGAAAGTGCCTTGTGCCTAAAGGCCGTCAGTCCGGGATGATTCCTGAACAAATGGAATATGGTACATGTCGCAAAGGATGCCTGTGCAAGAAAGAACCCTATGCAAATGACCTATTGATGTGACATCGACACTGCTTCCGTGTCCTGTCCAAATTGTGATTGCCTTGGCATGAATGGCAATGCAAGAAAACCGTGCAAAATGGTCTCCCACCAGCCTGCTGGGTTCAAATGCTTCGTGAGAACGTCAGCCAGCTGTTGATCTGTTGGGACCCAATGAATTGGCGGCTTACAAGGCTTCTCAGGAGTGATAGTTCCCGACCCATAGTTTCGCTTCCACTCATGTCGTGCTTCGACTGCCAAAGACTGGCGAATCGCTGCCAAGTCTAGAGCCAGACGTCGCTCGCTAGGAGCCCGTGGGATTCCCTCTCGATGCAAGTGGTCGAAGAGAGACTTACAGTCCGTGAAAAGGTGGAGCCCCATCAAAGCTCCCGCTTCAGCTTCTCCCACCAGTCGACCATTTGTGAAAGATAGCAGAAGGCTTCGCAAGAAGATGCATGATTCCAAAGCCTCTCCACACGCCATCGTCTCACCTGCAAACGTGGAACGGCAGACCCGCTGGCTGCCATGACTCCTCCAATCCAGGACTCCAAAAGCTCCTGGTTGATTCTGCAAGCATTTCTTGTCGGCCACAACCACCAAAGACGCCAGTTGCGACCCCAGTTTGAAATCTCCGTCCCAAGATGTGTCAATGTCAGCCTGGCAGGGCAAGTCGGCGTTCGCCCAGGCAGCGTCATGATATCCAAGAATGACCATGTCAGAGCGGTCAATCTTTGGGATTTTGATGCCGTTCTCCTTGTACTTCTTAGCTTGGTCCACGACCTTGTTGATTGCCTTGATATCGCCATAGGATGGACGTCCTTGTACACGTTGTGCTTGAGCGACATCAAATTGGATGTCTGGCCGCGTTTGTTTTGCCAACCACGACAGGCAACCAACCACTGACCTGTGTTGTTTCACCAAGTCTTCGGTCGCCGCGTCCTCATCGCGGCATCCAGAGGGCACCACGATTTTGTTCAGCCGGGACTCCACATATCCCGTCTGGGTGATGGTGATCTCATTCTCTGTGACCTTATATTCACAGCCGACATACTCGAAGTGCCCACCTTCCCAGTCGTCGACGGGGAACTTATTCTGTATGGCCTCCTGCACCTTTACCACCAGGTCCTGCTCAGCCATGACCATCAGGTCGTCCACATGGGTGAAGATTAATCCAGCGACCTCATTCGTGTTGGTGTTCATAATGCGGAATGCGCACGGGTCAATCTCATTCTGCTCGATGGAGTAGAAGAGCCCATTACATTGTATGGACAGGCTAAGCAGGTCTGTAGACAGCTTCAGCCACCACAGCTTTGGCGATGTGGCCAGGCCAAAAACTCCCTTCAAGATCTCCACCAGTTGTCCAGGCCGCAAACCAGGAATTCCCCTCGCAGGTTGACGGAAAAATAGTCTCCGGGAAGACTGCACACCGTTGAGGAAAGCTGCTCTGATATCACCAATGCGTATTGTCCATCCAAAAGACAAAGCCACCACCAGCCCCAGCAGCAGAGAGTGCCTATTGACAGTTGGAGCATCCACCGCCATGTCGACCACCCCAAGATCAGGGTCACGTTGGCCCCCGACGCACAGCCTTGCTTTCGCCTTGCATGGCACACCAGCATCTGTCCTTCGTTTTGCAAGGTTCTTGTCCCGATACAGGAACCTCGAGGTCAGGATCCGCTCCTTGCCGTACTTCTGCTCAACCTCTTTGCTTTCCGCCTCGGAAAGCGGTTTGACTGCCTCATACTTCAGGTGTTCTTCCCACTGGGTCACCTCTGCCTGCTTGAAGAGCTCCTTTTCCTCCGGTGCAATCAAGTTCCATGGTATTTCCTTCTCAAGAGCCTTATCAAGCGCTTCTTGTGAACCTCCATGCTTCGTGAAATGAGCCTCCTTGATGTTGCCTGCGTCGTCGCCTCTTTTGAGGTGATGTTTGATGGTGCCAGAGCGAAGAGAAAAAGGAAGATCATCCAATGCCTGCTTCTTGCGGGCCATTTGTTGTATTTCTTTCTCCCGCTTTGCTGCCCTTGCCACACGCTCTGAGACCGGGACACGGGTCATAGGTCCCGATGAGCTACCAGCTGCTTCCACCTCCGCATCTAGCTCACCTTCAATCCCTTCTGCTTCAGCCTCCATAGAGACGTCGATCTCTTTGTCAGCGGCGGCAGCACCCTGTGGCCCAACATCCTCAGCCATGTCATCAGCCGCCTCCTCAAAGTCCGCGTCAATGCACTGCCGGATTTGGAGCAACGCTGCCTTGATGCGCAGCGCCTCACTGACTTCCTCATGCTCAGCAGGACGTAAGTGCTCTCCTGCTGCAAGAAGGCATCGTCCACCTCGTGCCACCCAAAAATTGCTCCCCTCTGGCCCAATGATGGTTGCCGGACCGATCCACTTCGATGCTGCTCGTTTCCCTTTTGTTTTGGCATCACGGTAGACATAGACCAAATCACCTGCTTTGAACTGGGTTGGAAGGACCCGGCTGCGGTGCTGCACGGCCCGCCTCACCGCATCTTTGTTTTGGCAATGGAAAAACGCCATCTTTGCCCCAAGTTTGAGCTGGTGTTTGCGGCTCATCTTCTCGTCCGCAGTGATGTGGGAAAGAGAAGCAAGATCGTGGGCATCGTCCTCCAAATTGGGCCCCAATCTACCCTGAGTGCCAAAAACCCACTGGCGAGGTGAAAATCCAGACCTATTTCTCAGGGTGTTGCGGGCTTCACTGACGGCACATGCCGCTTCATAGACCTCACTGTCCCCAATGATGTGCTCCTCATGCAAGCGATCCCAAATCGCCTTCCAGGCACCACCATATCTTTCAGCAACGCCATTTTGCCAATGCGCTTGCCCAGCTGCACACCTCATAGCTATGCCGTCATTGTTGGTGAGGTCCCAGAAGGCATCTCGGAAGCAGGTGTCTAAGTCCAGCACCAGCTTCCCTGGGATGCCAGCCCACGATGCCCAATGCTTGTAGAAGGTGTCTGCCACCGTTTCAGCTTTACGATTGGGCAATGGTATCACCACCTGGTATGACGATGCTATGTCAACCATGTTGAGTGCCAAGTGAGCCTTCGTCTGAGCAGTGTCAATGAAAATGATGTCCAGGGCCACGGCGTCATTGAAGTCCAAGAGGGCCGTAGGTTTCGCCACACGTTGGGGCTGTGGTCGGGCGCATTTTGCGCACGTGCTGCATTGAAGCTGGCTGACCGCCTTAACCATCTCAGAGTCAGCCCCTGCCAGTCGCAGATGGCGCTCCAGCTCCCGGTTGTTGGGATGTCCAAGGTTCTGGTGAAGCTGTCGGAGAGCCCCGGCTATCTTGCTACTCACTGAGCCCTTGAACTTGATGCCAAGTGCACCTCGTTCATCTTCAAGAGTGATCTCGCCTTCCTCCACCATCTCAGCATCTTGTGGTTCTTCTGTGACCAGAACCTGGTGCGCCTGCATGTTCTTGACCACGTCTACCACTGCCTCCGCAAAATCCATGGAGTAGTGAGCAGACCGAGCCGTGTCAGAGCCCTGAACGAGGCGGTGGTCATGGGCCCCGTCGCACTTGCGCTGGAGGCCCTCCATAAAATCAATGTGGGTGGCCATCAGCCGAGTGCCCTTCTTCAGAAACTTGTCCCCCTCGAGGCCAGACCTAAGTCCAAACTGGCACATGTCGAGGTTGAAGCTGTATACTTCATCATCAGCAGCCCATCTCCGCAACATGCTGTGGTTCCATAGGTCGGAGCCACTTGGGTTTTCGATGACCACATGCCCACCAAGTTGACGTTGAAGGAGCATGACCTCATCAATGAGGTCCAAAAATGGCTTTTCCTTGGCGCGCAATCTCCTCCGCTGTTGCTTCGTGTAGTTGAGGCGTGAGAAGGCGCACCAGTATGTGCACGGCGGTGCAATCCACACCACCTTTGGTCTCTGCTCTTTGATCTCCCTCAGAACTGCTTCTTGTTGTCCTCCATCTCGGAGGTCATCTCCAAAACGAAGATCCCGCGGTCGAAGCACCGCCATCTTCGCCCTTGCAAAAGCCGCGGATATCTCATGCTCACCAGCGAAAAGCTCCAGGCAGTCAGCCCGATACTCCATGGGTCCCCTCACAGTGACCCATGCTGTGTTGAATGTCTCCATCACGATCTCCTCCGCCATGCTGCCGACTGCCAAAGCGCAGGTGAACAAGACGGACATCACCTGCTTGCCCATGTGGTGAAGCTTGCGTCTTGTAGATGCATTGATCTTGCGTTTGTGAGCCCCATCACGGGCGCGCTGCTTCGGGCTCCGGCCCGCCTCATCAAACCAGCCATCTGGACGTGCTCGTGGGGCACCATACACATGCCGCTCTTGAGGACGACCAGCCGCTGTCGCTCCAACCTCTCCAGCTTGCAGAGGACAACCACCCTTGTCCATGTCATACACCGGAGCGGCCTTATACACCGTGCCACTGCCATGCCCGACCGTGATGTCATTCTCAAAAGCGTCCCCCTTGTCCATGCGCCCACCACGCATGTCATACTCAGGGACGGCCACATTCTTTATGCGCTTGCCAAGCCCGACTGTCGCATCGCCTTCCGAGACAATGCACTCTTCAGTCTCTGCACTCTGCTTTCCAAGCCCGATCGCTGCCTTAATCACTTTGACGGAGTTCCCCCAGAAGGAAGCCGGTGTTCGCGGCGAAGGATCGCAGCTTGGGCCTCCAACTGTGCAATCTGCTCGGCCACCTCCGCCGGGACCTGCGCATCCATGCTCTCCACATCGATCGTCTCCATGTCCCTCTTCTGCTTGGCTGCCCTCTTGGCGGCCGGGATCATAGTCGTTCCCGACTCCGTAGATTTCCACGTCAGCACACTCCAGGCTGACTCGCTCATCGCCGGGGGAGGGATCTTTGCATTCACCTCTGGGTCCTCCACCATCGTGGGGACTCCCTTTCCTTTGGCCCGTTGCTTCCGTTCCGCCAGCTCTTGGCGGCACCATGCTGCAAAGTGGACTAGCTCCGGGCTGCTGTTGGTGTTCACCTCCGTCTCCTTCATCGCCCACTCTTGATAAGAGAATGGCACCTCTTTGAACATCCATGACTTGTACTTGCCGAACGTCATGACCTGGTCCCCCTCGGGCTGAAGGTTGTCCCTCAGCGCTTTGATGAGCCAGCCCCTCGTGACTTTCGGCGGCATCTCCAAGTCCGCCTCCACTGCTTTGATCTTGAGCTCCTCCAGGGACATCTTGCTGATTCCTTTCAAGGCATGTTGCTCCCGGGTTGGAGTTTGGCCCGGGCGCTGCTCGATGAGCGTTGCCCTGAGTTCTGGCACTGTCCAGTTGGGGTGCACAGGAACTTGGAGCTCTCTGAGTTCCCTCACCAGCTCCTCGCGCTTCATGCTCCATGGCGAGGTGCGTTGACGAAGGGATGACATCCAAGCGTCCAGTGGGCAACGAGTTCTGAACCTTCTTTGAAAAACGGCTGCGTCCAATCCAAAGTCCACCACACTTCCAAAAAATTGATGCCGATGATGGTTGCTGCCACACTTCAACTTGCTCAAAAACAGTTGCAACTTCAGATTGACATGGAATAGCTTCAGTGATGCGCTTGCTCTCAAGAGATGACAAAAGCTGCGACTTCAAATGTTGCAAACTAGTGTTCCACTTTGATGGATCAAAAACATCCCTTCTCGGAACCACGTGCACCCTGACAAACTCGCTTGACGTTTCAATCCAAAAATCACGACTTTGATTTGCATTCCGCCACCATGCCAAAAACGAAACTGCAGAAAGATGTTCATGGGAAAGCATGTTGTTGATCTCTACCGCAATCTTCTTTGGATAAAAGAGAGTGTTGATCTTTCCCTGCCCACCCCCAGCAGCTGATGCCATGTATTGCCCGGCAGCGGTCAGATAGAAACGCACATCAGGGTCGCTCGACCAGATGCATCCCGCTTTCTCCAAATTGCGCGGGAATTGGTTGACTACCAGTGCCGGGTGCCCAGTGTCAGACATCTTAAGAGGCACCCCAAAAAGCTTCAAAGCCTTCAGGTCAACCATCTGGGAGTCGACCGCACAGACCATGCCCAGCTTGCCCAAGACATTGCGACTCAGCAACAACGGCACCTTGCAATCCACAATTGCCACCTTGATTTTAACCAGCTTCTCCTGCACTCCAAAAAGAGCCCACACTGAGAACGACGACTGATGGACCCGAGAGGCTCCGAATTTGAAGTCTCTTCCTGAATCTCCACTTTGATGCCCAGCTCATCGGCCATCTTGTAGTATGCCTCAAACCATGCATGGCCCGCCACCGCCTTAGTGCAAGCGGTGTCAGCGATCGCCAACATTTCCTGTTGGCTCCCCTTGTCGAAGGTCTCCACAGAAGCGTCCTTGAAGTCGGTCATGTAGCACATCTGCACATGCTGAAGGTTGCTTGCCATCTGCGTCGACTTCACCGTAGAGGATGAAGTCGTTGTAGGTGCGCTTCCACCAGAGGACCTCAGAGGGCATTCAGGGTCTTTATGCCAATGGCCCTTCCGTTTGCAAGCTCCACAGTAGCTGCGAAGCTTGGCAGCTTTCAAGCGTTCCTCACTGCGACGCTTGAGCTCATCTCTGTCCACCCCCCGGCCCTTCACAGCCTCCCGGTACCGAGACTTCGCGTCCTGGTAGGCCATGTATGCATCATGGTAGGTCATCGCCACCTCCCCTGTGACCAGCTCGGAGTCTGACTCCTCCTTCACTTCCACTTCATCTTCCTCAGACATCTCACCACCATCATAGCCAGCCTCAGTGAAGTGGACGGTGTGTCGTCCATGCCAACGACCCCCATTGCCTTTGCCCCGGGAGTCTTCCCAAGAGCCCACCTTTCTCACACCTCTATCTTGTATGATTGCCGCTTGCTGCAACATCTTCAGGTCATACTTGTTGCCGACCGAAGCCAAGATCGCCAGCTCCTCCGCCTCATGTAGACGAAGACGATCCAAGTACAGCCAGGCCTTCACCAAGGGTGGGAGCTCACAGTCCAACTCGGCGAGATGCAGCAAGAGCCTCTCGAACTCCACATTGAAGTCTCTGACCGTTTGGTCACCTTTCTTCTTGCACCGCCGGAAAAGTTCCGACATGACATTCGAGACCTTGTTGACCTCCATCTCCATGAAGCGCACCCGGACCCAATCCAAGTAGTATTCAACCCCACCTGGAGTTCCCAAAAGGTCCACGTCGAGCTCTTCGGCGCACACCCATGCCTTGCCACTCAAATGAGTGTACAACGCCAGAGCCCGCTCCTTCTCATGAAGCTTCGTGCACTTCAGCCATGCCTTCACCTTCCGCAGATATGACCTCGCCGTCAGGCCGAGCTCTGTCTCCACTCCTTCCCCTGAAAACTCAGGGACCATCATCTTCTCTGTCGGCTTCGCTGTGCCGGCACTGCTCCACACTTCATCTTGGTCACCACGATGGCTGCCCTGACCACTGTTAGGCCATCGTCCATCGATGCCCCGCGTGGTCTCTTCGACCTTGGCCATGTAGCTGTCACGCCGAGGCTGACTGTCAACCTTGGCCCAACCACCCGACCAGCTCCACGTCCAGTCATAGTTCCACCATTGATCTTCACTATCTCGGCCACTATTCCCGCCGGAAACCTGGGACCAAGACGACCGCTGGCTCTTTGACTGTGACGACTCATGCTTCCACTCACCTAGACCTCTACCATGATCGTGCCCCCCATGAGCTGCAGAACGACCCCCTTCCCCATCATGAAGTGAGTCGCCAGTGCCTTCCGCAGGGGCACCACCACCTTCGTCTTCTGCTGAGCCATGTTCAAGCTCTGCATCTGCCACCGACTCCGCCTCGTCATCGTCGGCAAAGCCACCAGAAGCAGGGCCTTTACCTTGACCCTTCCGTCCTCTTGCATTACCCGCACGCCACACATTCACTGCCATCCCAAATCTTGTAAAAGACCTACACAGTGAAGTAGTTCAACCTGGTAACCTAGCAACAACAGAAAGTCCAAAAAGAGGTCCACAGGAAAGTCCTGCTCCGCGTAACCAATGTCAATGAAGTGCAAAGGCAAGGGTCACGGCCATTGCGTTTTGTCCTCGAAGCTGAAAGTGCCTTGTGCCTAAAGGCCGTCAGTCCGGGATGATTCCTGAACAAATGGAATATGGTACATGTCGCAAAGGATGCCTGTGCAAGAAAGAACCCTATGCAAATGACCTATTGATGTGACATCGACATTGGTATAAATGATGGTTCTATGACAGTAACTAATAACGAATGGTAATATGATCATCATCATCAACCAAAAATGTTGGATTGCGTTGCCAGTTGCGCCAAGCCAAGTTCTGAGCCAAGAATCCATCTGACCTCGAGTAACGATTTCTCGCGGCGCACCAAGTTGGGGTAAGTGCATCTGGTAAACATACAAACAACTGTAGAAAATCACCATTTTTAGTGGGTAAATCAGATTCGAAATCAACTATTTCGACTGGGCAATTTTCAATAGCAAACTGTTAGTCATTACCAGAGACAAATGCATTTTGCCACAACATGGCCTCTCCAGTGAAACTCAACCATTTTTTTCTATCCTGTCACTATTGCTGTCATATTTTTTCAAAGGCGTCTTTCTGTTTGCAGCCTCCCGCTGACTCTAAATGACTCTAAAATCTCTAAACAAATGAACAGCTGAGCGCAGCTGAGGAACTCGGATGTGGGGGTGGTTCAAGACCCTCTGCTGCAACACCAACGAGGCACGGAAGCTTCCGCGGCGATGCAAGAGATCTACGGAGCTGCAAATGCGAGCCAGCATCAAGGCCTCCCAGCGTTTTTTCGCCACACAAATTATAGGACCGGGATAGACCATACCGACTCTGGTAAACGTTGACAGAGCTATTGAAATGGCCCTAGAAATAGTTGATGACTACCCACGAATAGCATGGTGATTTCCCATATTTATGTAAACGTTTACCAGAGGGTAGATAGATATGGACAACGCACCAGCTGTCCTTGGTTACCTGTTCTGGACCAGATTGAAAAACATCAGCACCTTTTATCTAAACAAAGTGTTCCCATGTCATGGTCACTTGGATCACCAGCCAAGATCGGTGCACAAGACACAAGTACCCCCAAAATCCAATGGTATCTTTCCATATTTTCCTGACATTGTCTGAAAATGGGCGAGCTGTTTGAAACATTTGAGGCCATTTACCCCATCAACATGGTTTCAATTCTGGCCATAATATAGGCTTGATCCACTATTTCATCTACTGTCCGAGAGATACACATATCATACTTTCAATGGATTGGTTTAAGGGAAAGTTTACAGGAAAGCCTCATATTTAATGGGAAAATCTATGGTTTCCTGTAGATTTTCCCTTAAACCAATCCAATGATACTAGTAGTTGCAAACATGTTGCTGGAATTCTACATCCCCATGAAAAATTCCAATGTTCTACTCATACGGTTTCAAAGAGCACCATCTTTTTGTATAATTGAGTAGATAAAACTATATACATATACATATAAATATGAATATAAATATAAACGTAAATATAAGTAACTAACTAAATTAAATACATATTATATATAGATATGTACATATCACACAATTAATTAAATACATAATAAATACATAAATATATCATATTGAATATGATACATTATTATACCATCTGGGTAAATTATAATATTTCACCAACCTGAATCTTGCGGCCTCACATGGGGATGATTCCCCTAACATAAACCATGATTCCAGGGCTCGGGAGAACAGTGAGGTCGTGATGAAATTTACCCAGATACCATATACAAATATTAGATACATCATACCATATAGATACCATTAGATACCTTATAGATACATTATGGTATAACATGTACCATTAATATATACCATATACAAATATTATACCATAGAAATATATTAGATACCTATCACAGAAAGTCACCTCTCAAAAAACGCCTCCTCCATGGCACTGTCACCACCACCGATCACGGCGCAGGCCTGGCGATTTGAAAAAACGGTTTCGTGTCACAGAACTTACATGGAACAGAATGGAAATGGAACAGAATCCCATTGGATTGTTGATGATTGTGGTTATTGTATGGTTATTAATGATATTAATTACGGATATTAATGATTATTACTATTGATATTACTATGACCCATGACGGATCCATGGTGCTGCTATATATGGTGTGCCATGGATCCCATCAATATACCCCAGTCATGTTAGCATATATAGCAGCACCATGGATCCGTCATGGGAATGGAAATGGAACTGTGACAGAAGTCACATGGAATCACAAAAGTAAGTAAACTATTTAAGTTGATCAATTGAGATCGAATATGATCGAATATACCAGTGAATTGACATAGTCACACTGCAAATCTGAGATGATGGTAGATGTGTTCAGATGTGTTCAAACTATATATATATGTATATAATCGCCTTATGGGTGTGCAGCATCGCAATGATTTCACAACGTGAAGCTGCGATATAGATCGCTATAGTATGTATATGGCTGGTCTCAGGATATGCATCGAATGGTGAAACATATGAATTTGATCAAAAAACATGTCTGGTTGGTGGTATACCTACCCCTCTGAAAAATATGAAAGTCAGTTGGGATGATTATTCCCGATATATGGAAAAATAAAAAAAAAAGAAAACGTTCCAAAACACCAATCAGATGTAAAAGATGCAAAGAACATCGGGTCATCGTCGATTTTTCTGGCTAACTCTTCCCTTTCGTCGCCACGATCGTCGCACCTTTCCTTTGTAGAGGTAGCCGTCACAAGCTGCGCAGCTGGACACTCCGTGACCACGGTAATCCCACTCGCCCTTGACCTCACACAGCACTTCTGGCGAACGTCTCCTGCTGTCTACCTAGCTCTAGTATCTCTATATATATATACATACAGTATTTATGTAATGTAATGTAATGTCATGTCATGTCATGTCATGTCATGTCATGTCATGTATATATATATATAGATCAAACAAGTTTCCTTGTCAAATACATGTATTTATATGCTACATAAAATATACAATAATTCACATACTTTATGTATGTGCAAACAACATAACACATGCCAGCAGCTGGAATCATCACTCCATATCCTCAACCTCAGATGTGTGGTGCTGGCGCCATGCTGGTTAGATTCGTCCCTCGAAAAAGGGGTGACAACACCTGCCGCACGTTTCTGATCATTTCTGAGTTGCCCGGACATGAAGCCATTTGCTATTTGCCCCCGTGGCCGCGATAATCCTGAGTTTCCAGCCATCCGCAAGCCATCCGCATGATGTACATCATGTCCATGATGGCCATGATGTCCATGATGTCCATGACAGGCTTGAACATCAGATTTTCTAGCATCTATGATTCAGGACATGATCTCCACAGGCCTCACTTTTTTAGGGCTTCGGGATGAACTTGGAATACTAAAAGATACTGAAGGCCATAGGAACGCCAACAAGAATCTCTTTCCAACTGTCAAGGCATTCAAAATGCTACACTTTCAACAGTGAAGAAAAGGAAGAATGTTTCTCTCCACTGCTTGGTGCATTTGTAACGTGGACGTTCCGAACAGTGTTCTTCTGCACCTACATATATACAATATAACATGATATAATATGGCATGGTGTGATATGGATATATAATATAACACAACATAACACAAACATAATATAACACAACATAATATAATATAATCCAATATAATCTATAATATATATATATAATGATTCCAAATAAGTTATATTATACCCATGTTTGACACCTCAGCACCATGTCCAATTTTTCAGAAATCTCGCCATATTTGTCCAGGTCTCGTGTGAGCTTGCACCAGCCCAGAACTGTTGGTGTGGATCCTGGGTGTCTCTTCTAAACAAAGACAAGTTGCAAGAAAAACATATGTGTATCCCCAAATCATCAATTTCTAATGGAATTTCCCATGAAATACCATCAAATCATCAATTTCTAATGGGATTTTCCATGAAATACCATGAAATCATCCATTTTTAATGGGATTTTCCATGAAATACCATCAAATCATCAATTTTTAATGGGATTTTCCATGAAATATCATGAAATAATTATGAAATACAATCCATAAATTAATAGGATGTGTCCCCCTGATTTGTGAAACAGATACGCAAGAAGGATTGCTATCAGCAACATCTTGAGAGAAGGAACGATGTTATTCCAACTTGATACCTCTCACCAACCTAAGGCATGCTGCTGCATCGGCTGCACGGTTGTGTTCACCTGAGCTGATATTTTGAGAGGCGCAAGGATGGGCGCTCAAAGTTCATTTAGAGTCCAAATGTGCCTTCCAGCATATGCTGGGTATGCTGGGTATGCTGGGTGTTTTCCATGCTCATTCAATGGTTTTTTCCCCAGATTCTGATCATAAAAAAGGTACACCGAGGTTTCCAATTCATAGGGGTACCCCATGACATTATCATCCATTTTACCCTCTGGTAAACTAACATAACTATAGAAAATCACTATTTTCAATGGGAAAATCGACTATAAATGGTCATTTTCAATAGCTATGTTGACATAACCAGAGGGTAGATGGGCATGTTTCCCAAAAATAAACCATCCAGCCGTTTGGGTACCCCGATGACCATGGAAACCCCAACATGGCACATCAAAAAGGCCGAGAGTTCCACCATAGCCAAGTCCAAGTACCGGGATTCCACACAGCAACCACCATGTCATCCCAGACCTGCTAACATTCTGGCAACGTCTCAACAGTGGGGGTTATGATATCTATTTACCATCCAGAAATCAAACATGGCAGGAAATCACCTGAATGGAGGTTTGTAGCTGGGAAAATCATCTGTAATGGAAAAATCAAAGGAACAAGAATACATCTCCAACTCCTGTGCTCAATATTGTGAGCTTCATCGCACCCAAAAAAATCGCTGCGTGCAACACTTGTAGCTTGGCAGAAGACTTGTGTATTTCCAACGGTGTTATACAAAATCCATATGAACATTCCTTTCGAAGGCCTGTTTCACAGCACGAAACCATGGGGTAAGCTGTCCTAAATCCTCGCATGCCAACTGGGGCAAAAATGAAACTCTGGAAGGTCAAATTGAGCCTTGCAATTTCATTTCAACACATTTCAAGATATTTCAACATATTTCAACCAATAATGTCCTTTTCGTAAAAATAGAGGGGCCGGTTTGGTATACCATCTATCATCATTTACCTGTTGTTAAAGGGGTATCTTCAACAAACCCCTCTATTTTCATCAACCAACCAATGGAAATTTAAGGGACATCTATGATTTCAGCCATATTTCTATCATGAGTCACCCTTGGCCACACTTTACACACCCTTGTAACGTTCCAACCTTTAATTTTACTGTCGGCGCCACGACGGAGCGATCCGACTTCGAAGGGCCTCTGCATAGAATGACCGTGCTTGATGCTTCATGACCTGGATCCTGGCCATGGCTCATGGCTCATCATGGCTCAAACCAAAGCTGGTTTCACAGCAAAAAAGGGGAAACCGGGAAACACGGCTGACATATCTTAAGACATGAAAAAACATGCAGGATGTGAATGAACAACATTGAAAAACCAACAAAAATGAGATAAGGCATGAATGAACAAACACATCATCTACTGATAAGAAATCATGGCTTGCATAGAAATTTCCAAAGCACAGTCGACCGATGTCGACCGTCATCTGGGCATAGCGACATCTCTCCCCCGTTCTCGCGGGGCAATCCGGGATAGTTTTCCACATCTACCTGGATCAAAACACGGAACACCCACCAATGCCCTCTGGTAAACGAAGAAAAAACTATTGAACGTGGTGATTTATAGTGGATTATAGTGGATTTGCCCATTGATAGTATGGTGATTTTCCATAGTTATGTTAGTTTAGAGGGTACCTGCAAGCCACTCTTTTCGTGATTAGACACTTTCAAAGCTGCAAGTACAATCTGTTTCGCCTGTATCAATCGTAACGCAATCATTTCGAGCGTTGTACGAGTATGATGCCAAATTATGCCAAATGCTACAAAGTGTTTATAAGTCTTGCTCCTGCAGCGTTGGCAACTTTCACCATCAGTGTCTGGGAAGTGTCTTCCATGCACCTCTCAAGACATCTCACAACATGACCCCGTGGCCCCGGTGGTCGACCCCTGTAGCCCCAGCCCCAAGTGCCCGGACGCCCTTGGCCATAAGCTGTCCACCCACAGCAGGTGCAATGACCAAAGGACACAGGTTGGACTTGGCGGGTCATGGCCGTGCCAGGCTTTATGGACGAATTTTCTGATGGCGAGTCCTAGTCGAAATGCAGTTCTGATCAGTGATGCGGCCTTTAACTATCCGGGGGGTGAATATGAATATATATATATAATATAATATAATATAATATAATATAATATAATATAATACAATACAATATAATATAATATAATATAATATAATATGATTTAATATAATATAATATAATATGATATGATATGATATAATATTATATATAATATTATATTATATTTATATAATATTATAAGTATTATATCATAATATTATATTATATCAACATATATTACATTAAAATATATTACTATGTTACGATATATTATATTATATTACATTATATTGTATTATATTGTATGAGATTGTATTAGATTGTATTATATCAAATCTATAATATATTATATTACATTATTATATATATATATATTCATACATTAAGGTCTGGCCCGAACCGCCCAATTCGTCAGTGGTAGGGTTTTGACCTCAGCGGCACTCTCTTGCCATATCTCTCGTTGTGCCGCGGGCTTAATTTCGATTGTGGACTTCGACTTCGAATTTTTGGCCTTTTCGCAGATAGTGTGGTCCCAGACACCAAAAACACCTGGGAGGGGTTCTGCAGTGGCCCAAAGCACTGTTACAGCGGGGTGAGCTCCCAACTTTGGCTGGCTCAAGTGTGGTTGATTTTATTCCTACATTTGGACACCTTTTGTTTGGCCTGCAACAACTCCTTTGATTATTTTCCTCAATTCATTCCCACATTGGAAATTTTGTGGACGGGTCCTCAACTCTCTGCCTTAAGTTGACAATATAATTGGTCCTTCCTCGACCTCACGCCAGGTTCTTGTGTTGCTTACATATGCCATTGACTTTGTTCTGGCTTTTTGTAATCTTCAATCATCAAGAACTCACAGAAAAGGTCCCAGCGCAAGCTCAGAGCAAAGGCTCGACTGAACTGGCATCTTTTTCAAACCGGTCATATTCATTTGACGAGGAGGGAAATTTTGATTTTGAGACATCGGCTCAGTTCGCATCATTCGAAGGATCGACAATTTATCCAACGCATCAACAAAGAACTGATGGTGCAAGGAGATCCGTGGAGATGTGTTTACTGCAAAAAGATTTCGAAGGCAAACGCCAATGGTTGCAATCAGTGCCTGATAGGATGGCAAGAATGTCAGGACACTACTTTTGTTCCACCATCAAAGCAGCAGAAGTATTCGCAACAGCAGTCACAGTCTCAGTCCAGCTGGGATTGGAACAGCTGGGATTATTATCAAGCAGGAGATCATACGCCAAGGACGCCAAAAGGATCCAAGGTGGAGTGGCAACAGCCCAAATCCCCACGTCAAGGCAAAGGAAAGGGGAAAGGCAAAGGTTCGCGAAAAGAGCAATGGAAAGGACAATCAGCACACAATCAGCAGAAAGGACAAACAAAGGATCAAGGCAAAGACAAAGGAAAGGGCCGAGGAGCCAGCTCCCAAGGGAGCACAATGATACCTCCAGAGCCGCCTTGGACGCCTTCACTGAGCAGTGCAACCAATCTTGCTCCATTGCCGCCGCCTACAGAGCCACCTCCAACCACAGAAGAAGGAGCCATGCTCAAGGAACTGCTGTCAGCCTTGAAGAAGTCTTCAGCAGAACAAGATCCAGAAGTCAAGGCGATTGTCCAAAGGTCCACACTGAAAGAAGGGCAAGGAGCTGCTCAAACGCTCTATTCAGCTGTGGACGATCTCACAATGGCCAGGGAGGCACTGGATTGTGCACGACTGGCCAGACACAATCTTCACATCAGATGGAGAAACTTTCTGACAGATGCGGTTGCACGATGGCAAAAACACACAACCGACTTTCAGAAAGAAGAGCAGGATTTGTCCGAACAAATCGAAGCAGCACGACAGGCCCTTGTACAGGCTGTCAAGAGATTCGAAGAGTCCAAGACAGAACTGGGAGATCAAGCGGTTCATGTGGACGCCGAAGCTGCGATGAACGAGGATTCGGACAATGTGGACAAGAATGCTGTGGGAATGGCATTGCAAGAAAGTCTGACGACAATGTCACCTCAGCTGCAATCCCTACAGGCCTCAGCGGAGGCAATGGTCACAGAAGAGGCCAACTCCAACAAACGTCAGAGGACGGATGGAGGGGATGGAAGAACATCAGTTGCATCAGGCTCTGGAGTGCACGATGGATTGCCGTCTGCTACTGCGCCTGCAATGCAGCCATTTGCCGACCGAAAGAAGCCTTTTATCCAGCCCGACAAGCAGTGACCGAAGGGTACACTTGTCTAGGGCTTGACCAGCATCCACTGATTCTCAAGTGGACCCACAGGGCATGTAATGAACCATGGTTTGTTCCGGAATGGGAGGCCATTGAGCGCGCAAGTGAATTGTCTTGGGAGCTTGGTATCAGATCTGACAGAAACTTTTCCACTGAAAGATTGCAACAACCTACATGTGGGCGTGGTAGGCAGGTTCATTTTTCTTCAGATGTTGAATTACGTTTCTGCGGATTTTCTGATCCAGTCAGTGTTTCCATGAAGACCACAGAACAGTTTATCAAGCAATGGCCCCAAAAGCCATGGAGTCTACATTTACCAATATCCAATCAGAATGATTGTGGGAATTCCTTGGAACCGCTGTCCTCAGGGGCCGTGTTGATCCGGAAGGACCACAGTTTGCCAGCATCTGAAAATTTCAGAACAACTGATGAATTCCACAATGTTCCTTCAACATGGTTTGCGCAAGACAATACAAATGGTCTTGAACAAGACGATCAAGATGATGAGCTGCAACATTTCCTCCATGAAGAACCTGAATCAATACAAATCCTTTTTGATGCCTTCTTGCGGGAAGGACTCATCATTGGGCCTAGTCTCACAGAGAGCGTATTCCTGAGATCATGGCATATTGACCATCTCAGAGAACATCGCTGCTGGCACTATAGGATGATTGAATTGAATGGACACTGGAGGACTTGGTTCACAGACATTCTTTCTGCGTGGCGAGACAAAAATGATCCGAATGAGGATACGATTTTCAGCATCGTATATCCCAATCCGCCGAGAAGCATCGCTGCCAGAAGAGGTGTGTGGGATGAAATCCTATTTGACATCATCATCGCACAAGGGCTTGAGGCTCCACGCAAAGCAGGCCTTATTTCTGTGCTGCAACGTGATGACCCAAATGGAAGGGTCCGTTATGCTCTTGCTGCATCCTTGCCGGAGGAACTTAGTGGATACCAAATTGTGCAAAGCAGTGAAATTTTACATGAATGTAATACTTTCACATGCACTATCAAACATGGAATGATGACAATACCTTTCACGAAAGCACCAGTTCATCTCATGCAAGATGGTGACTCTTTCACGGTTGCTAGTCGCACTGGTGCAACTGGTGGTGGAGCCTCCAGTAGCTCAATGCCTCAAAGTGCCGCCATGAGTGCTGACGAAGCAATGAATCCTGAAAGTGGTGAAGAGGAACCAGAGGACTCTGATAACCCAGCCTTGCAGTCAGATCAATCGGAATCAGACAGTTTGCAAGGTGTGCACATTTTCAGATTGGGACACCAGCAAGTTTTCAATCGATTGAGATGGGACACTGCAGATCACATTTTGCAAGATGCGGCAAGGTCTGTGAATGTGCCGCCTGCACATTGTGTGTGTTTCCATTATTTGCAAGCATGTCCCGATGATCAGGAAGTGCAACAAGAAGCCATTATCCTCCAACATATCAACGACATTGCGCCAGGATCTACCGAAAAATTGATTCTCATGGACATTGAGATGCATGCGGCAGGTTTGACAGGTGGCAGCAATCTCCAAGCACCACGCATTTTGAGGCAGATTCACAAAGTGGTACCAGTTCTAACCAGAACACAATTCCTGCACATCGCCAGGGTCTCGGCATATTGTGAATGGATGGTGAATGGATGTTTTGTTTTCTGTAACAGGGTTCTGTGGACTTCACAGGACCAAGGGCCACGTAGAATTGCGCATGGCATGTACATCAGAATCATCATACCACCGCCACCAGATGGTTCATGGGAACTGGCACACACCTTGCGAGTTTTTGAAGAAACTGCTGACTTGATCGGAAAACCAGAGGCTTTTCGACTTGCTGCTGAAATTTTGCAAAACACCTATGCTCAGCCTGCGGTTGTTTCAGAGGCTAATAGCCAACAAACAGCCATGAATGTTCCATGCCAGCACAAAGGTGCGGACCTAGGACCCTATGACATCGACGTGCCAATCACAAACCCACCCAGGGCTTACCAGAGACGCTTGAGACCAGAACATGATGGAACGTTGCAGTGGTTGTTGGACCTCGGGCAAATTTTTGCAGACCAAGCACAAGAAGAAGCATTTGTGGATGAACCCATGCTTTACGTTCAAACTTGGTTTGTCAATCATTTGCATCATCCATCCTGTCGTGTGCCTCGACCACTGAGATTAGAAAGGTATTCCATCACATGGATTGATGATTTCCGACAGTTGTGGTCTGACGTTTTGAGAAGAAATGAAGTGTTCTCATTGCGTGTTGTGAGACCAACTCCTCCGCAGCCCAGATCATGGAATTATGCATGTCATGTCATTGTTGAGCAATCCGTACATGACCATCGTGCGGCAGGTCTTCTTACGGCATTGATTGAAGGAGATCGAATTGACGCAATCAACCAAGGGGCTTTTTCTCTCCCAAACATCATTCGTAAACAAACCATCATTGACACGCTGGAAATTGAACCTCTTTGTGAAGGACGCATATGCACGGCCACCTGGGGGAATGTGCCGATCCATTTGATTGAAGCAACTGAAATTACCTCAGGGTGTAGCATACGCATTCGTGTACGTTCACCGGAAAATCAGTTACCTATTGCACCAGGTACACAGGACACTCATTTTGAGGACATGGTTCTTCTCCAGCAGCCGAGTGATGAAGTTCATTTAATGCAACACTCAAGCCAAACAGCACAGCATGGGACGCAACTGCCTGCGCAAACTGGTGAGTGCCAAGCCTTTGCAATGAACCCTCAAGCCCCGGAGTTCCGACCGGGAGCATGGAACATTGCAACACAGCCAGAGCATATACAAGATTTGTATGCGCAATGGTCTCAGCGTGCATTTGCATGGGCAGGTGAAATTGCGGCCAGCAATGTGGTCACATGGCTTGTTGACCATCGTCATTTCATCCATTGTTATGCAGGACGCATTGTCACGTTGTATGAAGATTTTGACAGCTGGGAACAAAGAATCAAGAACGCATGGCAGGACATGCTTGATCCCAATGTACAGCTGGAATTTCATACTGTCACACCATTGCCGCCCAGACTTGAACCGTATGTTGCTGCACATGTGGTACTTGTCCAAGCGCCAAGGGATGATTGGGTGACATCTCTTGTTTCCATTTTCGATAGAGGAATGTATGGCCCTGAACCTCGCAGAGCTGCTATCACAACCCATGAGCACATTCGTATTGAGCACCTCCTCCCAGCATGCAATTATGATCCGGTATGCTTGAATCCTCAGAATCAAGTGCACTGCCAAGCATGGTATGATCGTTTACCATTGCAGCCAGGATTTCGCTTGCCAGGCAGGTCCGGTTATGGAATCGTTGTTCATGTCCAAAGAAGGCCTGTGCCGGTTTATGTGCCTCCCACTTCACCGGAAGTTGAAGGCCAGGTCCTGTTGCAAACCAGCATCACGTGCAAATCCAAGACTGTTTTGTGTCTAGATGACTGTGTTTCTGCAGATTCCGATGAAACAGTGCCCATCACGATCATTGATGAAAGCAGAGAAAATGGTTTTCCATCGCAACTATTCCTGCAGGATCCCATTTGTGAAAATGCAATTGAAAAAGAACTCGCTATCATGGGGTGGGCCCGACATGCATACTTATTGAAAGGAACAGGATTTGCTTTCTGTGTTGCTTGTGATTGGAGACCACCACCTGAGCAGTTCTGTTATGTTTATTACTCGCCCGGAAATTGGGACAGAGATTCCATCATTCTGCATAGTGAGCATGCCCATGAAGATGCCAATCGTCATATGAAGGTGCTTCATTCTCTTGGTTTTTGCCGTGCAGTCATTATTGAAACGATCACAGTGCGCACAGGACTTGCACTGGTTGAGTATCATAACAATGAACCTGCCCTTGAAGACCAAAGCAACATGACACGCAAGCAGACGCCTTGGCCAGCACCAATGCCTGTCATCCAGTCAAGACCTTTCTTTGTATTCCATGACTTTCAGGATGAAGCACCAGAGCATTGTTTGGACCTTGGTATTGATCTGGAATCCCTCGAGAAGTTTTTCCGCACTGGAGATGATGTCTTATGTCAGTGGTATAGCCATCTGGACTTGCCGGAAGTCACTCTTCATGCAATTCAACACAGGATTGTGATTGCCACAGAAATGCCTGATCTCGAGAGTTTTGACCGTCTTGTCATATATACGGATGGAAGCTCAAAGGCGCACAACAGACGCAAACCACCACTGTGGATCCAAGAATTTGATGTGCCCGATGCATGGGCTTATCTGGTCCTTGGTGAAAGATACAGAGCAGACGCGACATTGCCAGAGATCACGCTTATTGGATGGCATGCACAATGTGTCACATATGAGGAACAGCTCAGTCATTATCTCGGCACTACTCAGGTAGGATCGGAACATGCCGAGAGAGAAGCCCTTTTCTGGGCAGCAATCTGGCGGTTATCCAGAAACATCACTGTACCCACTGTTTTCAGATCGGACTCGGTCACCACGGCCGAACAGGCTATGGGAAGAGCTGGATGCAATGATGACAACCCAACATTTGAGGCACTACGGAGTGTATTCCAGGCTTTACAGGCGGCATTGCCTCCTGACTGCTTAGATGCGCAGCATGTGAGGGGGCATGCAGGTGATCCTTGGAATGAAATGGCTGACTTTCTTGCGAAGTCAGAAGCAGTACATGGGCACAAATTGAAACGACAGCCGGTCAACCTGCAACAGTGGAAAACTGTGCTGCCATATCTGTGGATGCTCTTTGACAAATCTGCAGGTCTGCCAAGTTTCAAAGGACATGGTTTTGATGTGTGCCCTCCACAATTGCCTAAGCCAGAACCGCCGACAAAAAGTGCCCTCAACCAAACAAAGGTGATTCGACATTGCATGGCCATCAGTCTTGCAACATGCAATGTGAGTTCCCTGTACGCAGGACCAGAGGGTTTTGGTGGGAAACTCCATTTTCTGCGCCGGCAGATGTGTGACCTTAACCTAAATTTTCTAGGCATTCAGGAAGCACGAAGCCCAGCAGGCACATCCAGGGCTGATGATGTCATACGCCTTGCCAGTGGATGTGTTAAGGGCCAGCATGGGGTAGAATTGTGGATTAATACAAAACAGCCGATTGCCTATCGGCACAACAAGCCTTGTTTTGTGCAGATGACACATGTTCAGGTTGTCCATGCTGATCACAGAAGACTCCTAGTCCGCCTTGCACATCCATGCATTGACTGCCATCTTTGTGTGTTGCACGCGCCACAGAGTGGTAGACCTCTGAGTGAACGCAGAGCATGGTGGGAGGAAACTCAACGCATCATGAATCAGTTTGTTTGTGATTTGTCTTTGTATGTTTTCATGGATGCCAATACGAAAACGGGTCCTTGTTGTGAACCGATTGTTTTTGCAAATGATGACTCATGCTCAGCAAACACTGTTTTCATGATTGAGTTTTTGAAAAACTTTGGACTTTGCTTGCCATCCACCACAGCGTTGCATCGCGGTTCTCATGGCACATGGACTGCACCAGATGGTTGGACACAACATCGCATTGACTACATTGCATTACCGCAGAATGAACTTTGCTTTTGCATGCAGTCATGTAGCATTGACAATTTTGACACAGGCAACGGCCATGAAGACCACCAGGCAGTTGGTGTCCAGCTTCAATGGGTCCAAGATCGACAGACCCGATCGTCCAAAGCCAAAACAGGAAAACATGACCGGAATGCAATCAAGGACCAAGAACATGTGATAGACCTTGCAGCAGTCCAGACATGTGCATGGCATGAGGACATTGAAACACAGGTCCAATCATTGAATCAAGCCATCCATTGCACTTTACAGGCAGCATGCCCAAGGCAAAAACAGGGCAAGAAGAAGCAGTATTTGTCAGCTGAAATATGGGACTACCGGATCGCCAAACTCCATTTGCGAAGACGCTTGCAGAATGCCCGACGCCAAGCCAGCTTGGACTCCATCCGACTCGTCTTCTGGGCTTGGAAAAATCAGGAGGCTGACCCTGATGGTGTTGACGTGATTGTTAACTCTCATGCAGCTCACGCAAACACGGTCTTGTGCTCCATTTTCCAATTGAACTGCAGGTTATCGCATTGCACGCATGCTGAGACGTGAGTTACAGCAAGCAAAAACACGTCAACTGTCTCATGTTCTTGACCAGACATCGGAGGTCACACCAGCGGGTACAATACTGCAAACTTTGAAACCTTTCATTGGGCCCACAAATTTGAAAAAACAAAAAAAGACAGGTTTGCCTGCTGTTCGAAAGCAAAATGGTGAGATCTGCACGACTCCTGAAGAGGCCCAGAACAGATGGATTGAATTTTTCAGCCACCTTGAAGGCGGAACCAGAATGGATCATGATACATACCGTACAATTTGGAGACAGAACCTTGCAAAATTTCTTGTGACAGATTCGTTTTCCATTGCCATCAAGGAACTGCCGAGCCTTGCTGAACTTGAAATGGCGTACAGACGTGTGCCATTCGGCAAAGCAGTGGGAAACGATGGTATCCCACCGGAAGTCTGTCATGTGAAGGCACGTGATCTGGCCAGATTGACGTATGCTATCCTGATCAAAGTCTTTGTCTATGGACAAGAAGCAATTGAGCATAAAGGTGGCCGGTTAGCTGTCGCGTGGAAACATCGTGGAGATGTGCGTGACTGTGACACACACAGGTCACTTCTTGTTTCAAGTCACATGGGCAAAACAATTCACAGAGCACTGCGGCAGAAACATCACAGTTTGTATACGGCATACATGCAAACCCAACAGCTTGGGGGACGTCCAAAAATTCCTGTGGGGATTCCGCTGCATTTATCCAGAGCTTTCATGATATGGCAAGCTAGATTGCAACGACCCACTGCATGTATCTTTTTGGACTTAGCAGAAGCTTTCTATCGTTTGATTCGCCCACTGGCTTTGGGGCGTGATCTTTCTGATGATGACATTGCAGTCATTGCAGCCCGGATTGGTCTTGGACATAATGCTCTGCACCAATTTCATGCACAACTCAAGGAGCCTTCAGCTCTGCAGCAGGCTGGAGCGGCACCGGTTGTACAGAAGTTCCTTCAAGCCCTACACAGTGACACATGGTTCCAAATTGGAACCCAAAATGATGTCGTGCGAACAGCAATCGGCTCTAGGCCAGGAGACTCGTATGCTGACGTAGTGTTCGGCCTACTATGGGCCCAATTGCTCCGGCGTTACGAAGAACAGCTTGTTGCCCATGATGTACTGGAAGTGATTCCAGTTCACGATTTGCCCAGCCTTGGTGACCAAGTCGATGTGCCCCATGAGAAGGTCCCTTTCATAGGGCCAACTTGGATGGACGACTTGAACGTCTGCATTGCCGCAGACTCCAACCTTGGCCTTGAACGCAAAGCAGGGCTGGCAATGAGCTTGTTGCTTGACCAATGCCGAGAAATGCACATGGAACCCAATCTACGCAAAGGAAAAACTGAGATCATGTTCACATTTAGGGGCAGCAACTCCAGAGAGTTCAGAAGGAAATATTTTTCCGGTGCACAAGGCCTGACTGTCGTGGGTGAACATGACACGGTGCAAGTTTCCGTTGTGAGCAGATATTTGCACTTGGGGGGTATTCTTCATCACCGTGACATTGACCGTGTTGAAGTGTCCCGCAGATTAGCTATTGCCCACCAAGCTTTCACTGCACACCGAAGGATCCTTTATCACAATTGCAAAATCCAATGGAAAAAGCGCCGTGAAATCTTTGTGACCTTGATTCTCAGCAAATTAGTATACGGTTTGGAATCATGGACGCTGAAGTCCCAAAAAGTGAAAATGCAATTCCACAGTGGTGTGATGAGCTTGTACAGAAGGTTGTTGAAGTTGCCTCATGACATGCACATCACGGATCTTCACCTTTTGGCACGTGCAGGATTGCCATCCCCTGGCGAATTGCTCCGGAGCAGTCGGTTGAGGTATTTTGGCACATTGCACCGATGCGGACGTGCGGCCAATTGGGGAGTCATTGCTGAAGACCATGACTGGATTGCACTCATTCAAGATGACATCCAATGGCTCTGGTCCCAGGTTTCAAACACCACGGATTTGAAGGACCCTGTGGACCATTATCCAGTCTGGAAAGACCTGCTCACATTCCACAGCTCATATTGGAAGAAATTGGTCCGAAGAGGCATCGCCCATGCCATCGCGCAGAGAGACAATTACGTGATTGCGCTTGATTTCCACTGTAGCATTGGTAGCATTCTGCATGATCACGCTTGGGTCGCTGAGTTGCCTGCTGATGACACTCGAACAGTTCCCAGCGAGGCATATGGATGCATGTGCTGCCAACAAAGATTTCTCACCCATGCTGGCGAAAGTGTCCACATGTTCAAAAAACATGGGCGTGTAGCGCCAGCAAGATCCCTATTTGATGAAACGCACTGTCCAGCATGCCTCCGTGAATATCACACAAGGGCGAAGGTATTGGCACATCTTCGTCACGCTGACCGTTGTCGTTGCGCACTAATCGGTCAGCGCATGCAATGTGCCATTGTACCTGGCACTGGGTCATCGATTGACCGTGAACTGGAGAATAGCATGGATGGCGCATTGCCTTTTCAACAAGCTTTTGGTCCTCAGCGTCCAAATGTGAGACAGGCAGACTTTGACCAACACAACATCCGTTTACTGGAAGATCTGTATCTTGCTCTCCTAGAAGTCACATCCACCGATGACTTGGAGCAGGTCATCAGGACAGAGATCGGCAAACACCCTGTTGGCTGGACAGTTTGTCGTTTGACTTTGCTGCATTTTCTTGATATTTTCACCGAGCAAGATGCAGAGGTCTTAGCATTTTCCTTTGACGCAGTTCGCCGTTGCATTGAGATCCTCGCAAGAGATGATGCGTGGCCTTTTTTGCAAATGCAATGTGTCAGGGAGGGCAGTAGTGTGACCCAAGATATCAGTGTATGGGAAGCATGGTTTGCAGAATTTGCATGCGAGCCCCCTGCATCATGGAAGCTCCTACAGCCATTGCCAAGATCGTTGAGCAAGCAGAAGATCATCCTTCATGCTTATGCCGGGAGGAGACGACGCGGTGACATTGAATGGTATGTTGATGCAATGGCCGCTCGTTATCCAAGCCATGTCATTCATGTCGCCTCGGTTGACATCGTGATTGATGCCACATTCGGCGACATTTCCAGAGAACAGACAAGATCTTCTTGGATTGGTCATATTTTGCAAGGACACGTTATAGGATTTCTGGCGGGCCCGCCGTGCAATACTTGGAGCCGAGCACGACACCATGTTATTGCTGGCGTCAGAGGACCAAGAGTTGTCAGAACCCCTCAGGAGCCGTGGGGAAAGGAATCCTTGAGCTTGACCGAGCTCCAACATGTGAGCATCGGGAACCTATTGCTTGGATTTGCGCTTGCTTGCCTCACCGCCTTAGCCGTGAGATCCGGCACGGGACTTGTTGAGCACCCCAAAGACCCCGAGAAAGATGAGATGGTGAGTATTTGGCGGCTGCCGGTTTTGCGTGCGATTTTGCAGCTCCCAAATGTTCGCCTTGTCCACTTGGCCCAGGGGTTATTCGGCGCGCCTTCAGCAAAGCCGACGACGCTGATGGTGCTCGGCATGTCCACACTGGAAAGGTTCTTGCGTGCGAACAGAGTGACACGGGAGATCCCGAACGGTGCCTCTGTGGGTAAGGATCAGAATGGCCAATTCAAGACATCCCCGCTGAAGGAATATCCTCCAGCTCTTTGCAAGGCAATAGCCGAAGCACTGTGCATGGACATTGTCAGCACGAAGTGCGACGAATCAGAAGTGCCTGCTGATTTGGTCGAACGTTGTAAAGCTATGACCTGTCAGTTTTTTGGCACTTACATAGGCCCTGACAGCTAAGATCTGCTGGGCTTCGCAGAATTCAGCAGATGCATCTGCCGCAGCGATGATCGCGACTACAGGCAGGGAGGAAAAAAAAATCATACATTTTCATACATGATCCATACATGTATGGAAATACTTAATACACATCTCATGCCTTGTATGGCTTGTGAAAAGCTTCAGACTCTGGATGAACCTGAGACACCGGACACGTGCTGCATAGATGGCAGCCGTCATCCCGGCCGGACCACCCCCAATGATCACCACGCGCTCAATGGCACTGCTGCTGCGATTTCGGTACAGCGTGCAGGGGTTGTGACCCAGCCGCAGCTCCTCTGGCAGTTGTCAACGTCTACCATTCTTGAGGTGCCGCCGATAGAATCGGGAAAATATGGGACAGCATGTTTTTTCTTTTTTTTAACCTATATAATTCATATTAATGCATCATGGACAAGCGACTGAGTTGATTGCAAATGGAAGCGCATATGTCTTGAGTCGAACCTCAAGCATGACCATAGGGATTGTCAATGCCTAGAACCAATGTGGCAAAATCTGCGCAGTGCTGAAGTAGACTTGGGGGCAAAACAGAAGAAACATCAAGCAGAAACGTCAAACAGAGCTCGCGAGGTTGGAAGCTGGCGCAAACAGAAAAGTCAAACAATCTTAAGTCCGGGCCATGTATATCCATGTATCACCTATGGTATGGATAGTTTCGAGCTCCAAATAAACTTGTCGGATTGTGTGCATTTCGCCATTAAGAAACGCTCATGATCAGCACGATTCACCAAATTCACTGGCCGCCCGCGTCGCACCTCTTCTTCGGCCTTGGCTTCTGCTGCATCCTCTTCGCGCCTGGCTTTAAAGGTGGCCCCATGGTGGCCCCAGTGGTGTCGGGTCAGCATCAGCAGCCTCTCAACTTCCCTCTTCAGTTCTTCCAGGGTAGCTGCCTCGCACAGCAAAAAAACCTGTGCATGCTGCATGCTGGTACATGTGCATCCTGTGAAGCGGATCATCGACCTATGCAAAGAACAAAATGAAACACATTCATATCATCAATTGGGTATGGGTCAATACCTATTAATACCGTTTTTAGGGGGATGAACATCCATTTACCAGCTATTTTGATGTTCACCAGGGGTACAGGGTTTTGACCCATCCCCATATCATCAATTCAATCAATCAACATCAATCAACGTCAATCAGCATCCATGAACTAGTCATAGCAACTCACTTTGGCCCAGGGAATCACGGCGTACTGGAAGTCATGGGCGGGTGGCGACTTCCCCTGCCTGCAGGTTTGGACCTCCTGCAAAAGATTGACCTGGGAGCGGAATTCCCATGGTCCTATGAATGGCATCCTGAGAAAAAAAAAGGCTACTATAGGCTACTATAGGCTACTATAGGCTACTATTATCTACTATTTATAGGTACTCTAAAGACTGTTGCCAAAACTCTTGCCCACAGGCTCTCAGCAACTGACTGCGCATGTGACTTCAGATACTTTAGATAGCTCTGAGATTGTTTTGAGTCTGATCCATTGGAGATGTTTTTTCATCTTTTTCATGAGGGTTCAACATGTCAAGATATGTCAAGGACAACTTCTCCTGACTGCCCTCACGACATAACAATCCCGGACTTTTTCTACTTCCCCTGATGATCCTGATGCCCACCGAAATAGATAGATTCTGTGGAAATGATGCCACATGTATAGCCTGAGGTTTATTCTGACATGGTGAAATATGCTGGTCGAACATTTTTATCCTGACAAAAACTCTGACACGACATCGACATAATTCTTCTGTATTCTGCTAGAACATTCCTGACATATACTCTGACATGTAAAATCTCTGACCGGTAGTTTGACATGTAGCCTGACACATATTGTGACACATAACTACTTTGCCATCTATCCTGACATATACTCTGACACATAATCTGACACGTGGTCGGTTTATGTCAGCTATAACATATATATATATGTATAGTATAATCCTGACAATGTATTCTGACAATGTATTCTGACATGTACTCTGACGTATATTGTATTATGACATCTGGTCTGGCAAAATTCATGTGATGTATATTCTGATATCAATTCAGACAGTTGCTCTGGCAAATTTCATGCGCCATATTGATTGAAATTTCATTGTGACATTTGCCGAAACAAGTTTCATGTGCATAATTCTGACGTATGACGTATCATATGAGTCGCAGAAGTTATTTGATACAAAACGCAATTGACAGGGTGTTTCTACCTTGTTCTCCAGTCCCGTCACGTTTTTTGGGGCCTGACCTTGTTCTCCAATGCCGCACTTGGTATATAGCTAAATGCTTTACATGCGATGCCTACCTCGTTCTCGGGGTGTTCCTACCTCGTTTTATTACAGCCTAATTATGATGCTTTCGACAAACCGGGGTACGCCACAATACTATGTTCCATTTAACCAAATAAAAAGCCGTCGCTCATATATTGTCTGACATATGTTCTGACATATGTTCTGACATTGACATCCATCCTGAAGTATTTTCTTGACATTTCTTGACACATTTTCCGACAGCTTGTGGGTCTGGTGAGGCAGACAGAGGGTGGCACAACTCCATAGGGACATTAACCACGCGGCTTGTTTGGAAAATGCTGGAGTTTACTAAAGGTCTCTTACAGTGTATGCAATTTTCATTACACAAAAAGATCTTAATAGTCTATTCTATGTAAATAGCAGTCGTTTCATCATATTTGTGGGAACCCACCAGCAGGAACTCATGTCGTTTGGATGCCAGAAGTCGTCTATATCATGGTGTGTTTGTTCTTGGCCCAATGAATTCGAACCTTTGCCATGAAACATATTGGTAATTAGATACTAAGTGGAACTAGAATTGGTCCACAGTATCAAACGAATTGAAACATATTTGGAATTAGATACTACAGTTACTACACCCTAAATCTAAATCTGCTGCGAAGACTTCTACAGAAATGTCTCTTTGGAGTTGGTGAAAGTGACATTCAGAAGTGGCATTCTTTCAGCCAAATCTGGGAGTAAAACTCTTGGTCTCGTCCGCTTTCTTCTCCGTCTTTGGTCGTGGCGCGGTCTTCGGTCCCTGTCGCGGGTGTCGCGGCTTGCGGAAGCTGGTAGAAGATGGTAGAAGATGCATAAGCCGGGCCATACGCATAGTGCATCAATCCCATAGGTATATGGTGCTCCATGGATCCCATCAATATACCCCAGTCATGTTAGCATATATACCAGCACCAGCCGGATCCGTCATGGGAATGAATGTTTTGGCCTCACCGTACTTCTTTTTCAGCAACCGGACCATGGTTGGGAAATCCTGGGTGCCAGCAATGACCGGAGACTGTGGTCCAAGCAGCTTTACATGGCCTGAAATCATCCGAAATGTGCCATGTAAACACCTATGCCATCCATCAAACACTACTGCCCAAACAGCACAAACGTCAGTTGCAACATGTTGCAACAACGGAACCCACCAAAAGCTATGTTCAAGTCCTTGCTGTTCTTCTGCAAAATCGTGTCGATGCTTTCTTTGGATGCTTTTGCAGGATCATGCTTGTGGTAGAACTCCTGCAGCCCATTTTTTGACTCGTTCACCACAGCTGAGCGAATAGAATTGGACCCCCAATTCTGAGGAGCTACCTGTTCTGCCGTTAAGAAGTCACTGGCTTTTCATGGTTTTGATATGTTTTGATGCTTTCTCAACAACTGTGAGATATCTATATATATATGTAATTATATAATATTATATATACTGTAATATAATATAATATATAATCTATAATATATATATATAATATCTGGTTGGTGGTTTGAACCATCTTGAAAAATGATGGAGTTCGTCAATGGGAAGGATGACATCCCTTGTTTATGAAATGGAACATAAAAGCCATGTTCCAAACCACCAACCAGGGATTCTTAACCATTATTAACCATTATTAATTATTAACCATCATTAACTATCATTATCCCATACTAAACCAATGTTCCAGTCATGTTCCAAACCACCAACCAGTAGTTTAGTGATGTTTATAAACCATATGATAATCCCCATATTAACTATAGTTATTTCATGTTATTTCTACCATAAACCATAGTTAATCATTAGATGGGTATGGATCAATACCTATTAATACCATTTTTAGGGGGATGAACATCCATTTACCAGCTATTTTGGGGTTCACCAGGGGTACAAGGTTTTGACACACTGCCAGATCTCTCAACAGCTGGCTCAAAAAACCCATCGAATGCACCTCCAACGCCTCGCGTGTCACAATGACATCGTCCCGATCTGCCTCACACGGAACTGCTGCGAAATCGGAACCAGGAACCGTTGGATTTCCCAAAATCTCAAGGGAAAACCAGGGGAAAAGCCATGGGGTTTTCCCTAAAAACAGGGCTTTCCCATGGTTTTTCCATGGTTTTCCCATGGAAAAACCCCAAAAACCAGGGTTTCCCTCAGATTTTTTCGAAGCAATCGCTTGAAACTCCAGATTTTTTTCCAGTTAAATCATCATCCGACTCGGCCAAACAAACCTCATCGACCAACTTCCTGGTCCATTCCCGAAGAGAGTACCTCATCGCGCCACGCATGCGACGCATGTGACATGTTACCCTCTGGTAAACATACAAAAAACGATGGAAAATCACCAGTTTCAATGGGTAAATCCACTATTTCGACTGGGCCATTTTCAATAGCTTTTTTGACATAACCAGAGGGTAGCTATCGGGTTCCCATTCAATGAATGCGAGCATTGGACTATATTGGACTTGTTGGTGGCATAAAAACATTTTTGGACTTCAGTATCAAAGTATAGAGCAACCCTTCCAAGTGTCTTTGGTGTCCAATGTGCTGAAGACCTGTTTTGGCCAAATTGGAAAAAATGACATGCTGTGCTACAATTGCCATATAATGCACAGAAGGTCAATCTCCAAGAGCAACATCACCAAACTGCCAAGTACAACTCAGTTTCAGTTTCACATGGGTCATTAAATGTCCCCATTGAACAT